GAGCCAACAGAGGTGGATGGGCCATAAGTGTGAGGGTTTCCCCTCAGAAGCCCCTTACTTTCGGCTCTCCCTCAGAACATTCCAGTCCTTGCCTTTATGGCACTGCACAGGTGCTGTAGCAGTTTTCTCCTGAAGAAACTCAGGTCTCTCCTCCTCTTCCCTCGGCATGAATTTGTAGGAAACTAAAGAGATTCAAGGGGGATCTGCTCTGTTGAACAGAGAGAAACCAAGAGCCAGCACGAACAGGCACCCCCACCCCAACCCCTGAGCCAGCGGGGACAGGGCCTCACCAGGAGGTGTCTTTGTGTCGTGACATCCTTCCTCTTGGGACTCCTGCCTGCCAGTCATCTCACTTGACCCTCCCATTTCAAAAAAGGAGAACCTTAGGCTCAGAGTGGGGGGGGTGAGTTGCTCACAGCCTCACAGCCACTTAGTGAGGGAGCTCAGGCTTGTACCCAGGTCCCGGACCATAAAGCACTGTGGCTTTAAGGCACTGAGGAACAGAGGTCAAGAGCAGGGTACTTTGGAGTCAGCGTTCAAATAGAGTGCCAGCTGGGCTACATCCTTGCTGTAGGGTCTTGGGCAAGTGGCTTAACTTCTCTGGCCCCTTTAGTGGCCTCATCTATAAGATGAGAATGATAGAAGCTTTCAGGATGAAGCGAAATATGTGAATGAGCTTGGGGTTTTGAAGTGTAATAAGTGGGAGCCTCTGTTTCCTTCCCCGCTGCCTCCCAGGCGCTCAGGCACACCCCCACTTCTACCACCCTGACTTCTCCATCTCTTGCCCTCGGGAAGCCAGTGTGTTTTAGATCGACTGGCTTGGGCCAGAGGGTTATGGTGATTCCAACTTGGGTTTCTGTTTGGAGTCTGGTGCTGCTCTTGATTAATTTCCCCCACTGAACCGATGTTGACAGGTTTCATGTGGCTGTCCTTTGCAATTATGAGTTTCTCCCCATAGGGTGTCCAGGATTGGGCTGTTTTTCTGTTTTCTCCCCTTTATTCCTGACACTGCTTTTCTGAGTCTTTGCTGGGACCAGCCAGCCTGAGCTCCCGGGCCCCGCCCGGCCCTCTCTGAGGTCTTTCTGAGCTGTTTTGCTGCTTTTCCATGTTTTCTCCCCCTTGCCCTGTCTCACCCCCACCCAGTTTCTATTTTCCCCCAGGCTCCACTGGCTTCCCGTGGTTTCTCTTGGCCTAGACTCAAGCCTGGCACGACACGTCTGGCATGGCCACCCTCTCCTTCCCACACTGGTAGGGGAGGAAGCAAGTGTATCCAGGGAGGGGTGTTGTGGAGCTGGGTGCTGTCCACCCAGGTGCCAAGCCAAACAGCCTGCGCGCTAGGTCCGGCCGGGCACCTAGGGCCCCCTTCCCACCCAGAGCCGCCTTCCTGACTCACGGAACCCACTTCCTCCTGCCCCAGTACCTGATTCTAGCAGATAGAAAGTGACCACGGAACTGAGCCCTCACTGAGGTGCACGAATGTCCAGGAGAGTTTGTGCAGAGTCCTCCCCTACAGAGGTGAGAAACAGCCTTCTCCAGGGGCCCGACGCCCAGGTGGGAGTTCAAACTACCCCCAGGAGGGGCAAGGGCAGGTGATGTGTCCCCCAGATGTCTCCTTGACCCATGGCATTCCAACAGGAAGAAATTTCTATTTAATGGTCAGCCCTGGAGGGGAAGGAGAGGGTCACCTGGTGCGGGCCAGCAAATGTGATTCCTGGTAGCCATGATGGAAAGGGCACAGCCTTTGGAGCCCCAATATACCAGGGGGTGCCCTGCCTCCCCCACTCACTACTCTGACCCTGAAGCCCTGAGCTCGTCTGAGCCTCTTCTTTCACCTGACAGCAGAGACGATGAAATAATACAATCCTGTAAAACATGTCACGCCAGCACCCGGAGAGCTCAAAAGTTGTCATAGTTTCTACCCTCTCCTTTCTAGCCACAACCGGACCTGGTTTACTGTCATCACCTGAGATGGAGGAACCTGAGCTAGTTAGGAAGCACCTCACTTTGAGGTCCCCAGATTCCAAAGCTCAGAAACATGCTCTTCTCATAGAAGAGCATGACTATCATTTTGACTCTTCTTCCTCAGCCCCCATCCAGTCAAGAGACAATGCTACTGCTAGTATAATAACTGTAGCAGTGACAACTAAGGGTACTAGCCCACATCTTCCATTTCATTTTACCCATTAAGGCACATGAGGACAATTGCCACCTCCATTTTACTGATCAAGAAACAGAAACTAGCAGTTCAAGCACGTGTCCATGGTCTTGCAGAAGTCAGCGAAGAAGCTGACGTCTGCGCCCTGGATGCCAAACTCCAGAGCCTGGTGATGTGACTTCTTGATATTTCTAAGTCCACCAGCTCCTCCTCTTCCCAGTGCTTCCCTTTGGCCACCAGTCCGTTCACAAGCTCCCTCCGCCAGCTTGTCCTTCATAACTGCTACCAAAGTATTTTCACCAATTCCAAATCTTTCTGAAACTGCCCTTCCCCCCAGTGCACACACACACAGAAACACACACAAATACACACACACAGATCCGTACACACCAACCTCCTTGCAAATTTTCTGGAATTTGGTTCTAGAAAAGGAACTCGTTTCCTTCCTAGCTCTGTGTCTTTGCATGAGCTGTTCTCTCTGCCTGGAATGCCATCTGGCCTCTTCACCTGATGGACACTTACTAACCCTTCAAGATGCAACTCAGGTTTTGTTTTCCAGCAAAGTCTCAATAATATGCATAAGACAATGGATCAGTGCCTAGTTAAATGAACAAGATCATAGCAGCATCCATCACTGCACATCCTAGCCAAGCTTCTTGGATCAAATATCTTTCACATCTACTATGTATATATGATCTTCATGACAGTTCTGTGAGATAGGCAGGGGAGAAAGTATCCCCAGCTTGAAGGTAGGGAAACTGAGGCACAGAGCCGGTGATTAGTCAGGATCAGAGCCAGGACTCGGAGCCAAGTTTTCTGCCTCAGAGACCAGAATGGTGACTCTACTCTCCTGCCTTCTCTAACTCGGGGGTTGTGCTGGGCCTCTGATCCATCCTCCCTCCCAATTCACCAGGCCACATGGAGGAAGAGGGCTGCAAGTGGAGGCTAATTATCTAGTTATCCTGGGCTGCAGGGGCTGCCCTTCTTAGAAAGCGCAGGGGAGGGGCCTCCCTCACGGTGCAAGGGGTTAAGACACAGCACTATGAAGCTATCCACAGCCACTGCAGCACCAGTTCCAGGGAGCTACCCACATGGCACTGCAGACCTCTCTGTCTCTCCCGCTGGTCCCCTCAGCAGTGTATTTTGGTCGGTCTGCCTATTCTGTTCCCCACTCTGTCTCTGGTGAATCCTCTTACCTACCCCCACCCCAACACCTCTGGCCTGTACCCCAGTTCTTGTATGCATAAATCTTTAAAAAAAAAAAAAAGAAAGCACAGGGAAACTTCCTGCATGACCTGAAGATTCCCTGTCCACCTAAAAACCTAAAAGACAAGACCTGTGGAATCCCTAATGCAAAAGATATGATTAACAATTTAAAAATAAGCTTAAAATAAAAGAGTAGTCCAATACAAGTATAATTTTTCCCTGATGAAGACCTCTTTGATGCTTCGCATGAAATGTCAGATTCTGCCCTCACCCCCATTTTTGGTTGCCCCTGCTTTACTGGTGCCCTAAGTAAATGTTAGTCAGTGCTTGGGGTGTAGAGTTAGCACAGGCTTTCCCAGACTTTGATCTTTTTACAGTGGCCCCCAGGGGCACTCTGGGTCTCTTGCCCTATTCCGTGACACCAGCTGGAAGGAAAGGATGTGGCTGGGACCAGAGACCCAGCACTTGTCAGGATGGAGGGTGGAATGAGAGACAATGAGGGGAGGCGGGGGCAGGTTTGCCACTGGGGCCAGACAGCTGGGGTGGGGGCTACTGGGGTGCAACCACAGAGGTGGCGAACAGGGCATGTACAGGGCAGGGCTAGGGAGGAGAGCCCAAATGTGAGTGGGTGTGGCACAGCTAGGTAGCCAGAGTCTCCAGGCCGGGCCCCTCTGTTTAGGGTGCAGTGGGCCTGAATGTGGGCCATGGGGAGGAAACTGCCTTTCCTGCCTTCTTTTCCTTCCCCCTGAGAAGAATCAGGAGTGTTTCATGTTGTCTGACTTCCACACCCACAGACTGGGTGAGGGGCGGCGGCAGGATCCTCAGGCCAAGGCTACCAGAGTCCTTTGTCCCGCCCATTGCAGGCTAACTGTGCCTCAGCTCCCCCCACTAAGTGTTATGTCCAGTCCTGACTCCCAAGTTGATTTCTCTCAAAATACCTATTTATTTTCCCATCAGATATAAAATTCAGGTGATTTGACAGCATGAAATAGGCACTAGTGTGTTCCAGGCCCCCTGAAATGCACGGCCCTGACCATCGTGGGCTGTTACATCACCTGACAGCACCTGTTTCTGCTTCCACCCTGGGGCTCCTCCTTGCGTTCACGATGCCCCTGCTGGGCTGGAAAGGAACTGCAGGGCTCTTTGGAGGGAAGGATTTGTCATGGGTGGCCAGTGAGTCCCAGAATGCAGTCCCTCCCCCAAGTAGGGGAAATGGGAGTCTGAGCCCCACGCCCAAGCCCTGAGGGGCTAGAGCAGACTAGGTGGAGGAGACAGCCCCTTCCTGAAGCTTCTTTGGGGTGGCAATCTCCAACCCTCACCCCAGGCTTTATGGCAGAACGCCAGACACCCCAGGACCGCTGCCCTGGTGGCCCCACCTAGGGAGGTCCCATTCCCACATCCTCCGGCAAGGGCTTGGAGTGCTCCTTCCCCAAAATACACACGTGAGTGTACACATACACACACTGACAATGACGACAAAAAAAAAAACCAAAAAAACCAAAGCCAGGAGCGGCACACTGTCTGGAACATGGAGTGAAAAAGGGGGCCCAGCGAGGAAAGAAGCCGAGGCGGGGGGCCTGGGGTTGTGACTCAGGCCCCAGGAAGCTGGCTCCCAAGCCCGGGCCCTCCAGTGACTCACAGAGACTGCAGGCTCGGCAGATCCCACAGCGCCTCTGCGGGGATCCCTCCCAGCTGGTTGTTCTGCAGCATCCTGTAAGGGAGAGAGGGCTTTAAGGACCCACAAGGCATGTAGACCTGGGGGTCCTCCCTTGAACCCCCTGCCTCATGCCAGAGCCCTCCCTCTTCCCCCTGCTTTAGAGCCTCAGAGAGAGTTTTGGTCCAGCACCCCTCCCCCTACCCACCAGCCCTCTTGGGACTGGGAGGGCATCTCAGATGGGAGGGCCAAAGAGAACCATGGGGAATAGAGAGACAAGACCTCTGGGGAGCAGTAGAGGCCAGAAATCAAACATTTGTGATTCTGTCAGTGAGGTCAGGAAGAATGTGCAGGAAGGTAGGTGTTTTCCCCCCGGCCTCAGTTTCCCTGAATATGCAGCTGTGAAGCTGAAGTTTGTTGAGGGGAAGAGAGGATGTGGAGGAGGTCAAGGCCCCTCTAGGGTGGCAGAGCCCCTGGCAAAAGTGATTTTGTGGCATCCCTGTCTGTAGAAATGATTCGAGGCACCCAGGACAGGGGGCAGCACAATCCTGACAATCAATCGCACAAGGTCCCACAGAAGAAGGTACAGTCAGCAGGCCCCATCTGCCCATAAGCTGCTCTCCCAGAACCAGCCCAGCCACAGCACCCCAGGACTACCCCATAGGCAGGAATCCTGGAGCATGTCGGGGCCCCTGGAAAACCCCACATGAGGGTAGGGGGTCAGAGCGCACACAGGAGAGAAGTAGGGGCCTGGGATGCCCCCTCCAGCATCACTACCAATATCAGCTATCCCAGGCACCAGAGCAGGTGTTAGAAAATTTTGAGGTGGACACGCCAAAGCACAGCAGATCCCTTCAAAACAGAACTGAGTGGGGGGGCCTGCCTGCATGGTTGTAAGGGAGGAACTGGGTGAGGAGATGGGAGGAAAGCCCTGGATAGCAGCAGCCAGCTGAACCTCCTTACCTGTAGGCCTCTAGACCTGGACCTAGAAATGAGGACTAGGAGGGCACAGGGAGTGCAGGCCCAAGCAGGATTTCAGGGAATAGCTGGGGAAGCAGGAAGGAAGCTGTCAATTACGCCAGACAGTGTGGGTGCCTCCAGCCAGGCCCCCACTGCCTGCACAGCATGTGTTCTGGACACACCTGGGCCTGCAGAGCCCAGAAGAGGCTACTTGGGAACCGGGGGGTGGAGGGGACAAGCATTGAGCTAGTCCTACTGTGCGCCAGGTGTATGTCATCCTCTCTTGTTCAAGGTGAATTATCAACCCAACTTTCAGAGGGGAAAGCTAAGGGACATGTCCACCCAAGGTCATTCAGCTCACGCTGCAATGTCTGCCGTGCTTCAGGAAAAGCAGAGCATTTCCTAGTCTGAGTTTAATCACAGTGGCAGACAGCGTGCGGGGTGCTGGTCTTGGAACCTCACAAGTGTCAGCTCCAGAGGGTTCGGCCAGAGTCCCAGTGCCTGACTATTATACCACCAGCCTCTGTCAGGCGAAACCACCTGAGTAGTAGTGACCGAGACCTCCTGTGTGACTGTCCTGGTCAGAGTGCCACCTGCTATCTCTCTTAGACTCTGTTTGTGGACATAAGAAAATTCCAGACATGAACAAAACCATAACACCTTGAGAACCAACGAATGCTGGGCTCAGGTGAGTATGGGGTGAGGACTGAGAGGGTCCCTCATGGAGACAAAACTGAGGAAGGGGATGGAGAAGCAGACTCTGGGGCACTGGCATTCTCCCTGCCCACCCCCCTGCTCTGGGACTGGGTGAGCAGCCCCCAAAGGCAGCCTGGGCTCAAGGAGTAGCAGCACCCAGGGTCCCTTCCCGGATATACCTTGTGTGCCTAAAGGTCTCTCGGCACCCCTCGACGCCCCCCCACCCCCGGGCAGGCTCCACTCAGGCAGCCCTGGCCTGCACCCTCAGCTCTGTCCCTTTCCAGCAGTTAATATGCATTTGGGTCTTAGCTCTGTCTGTAAATTGGGAAAAACGATAATGACCGCATCTGCTCATAGTATGGATTAAATCTGAGAAGCCCCATAGAGAACTTGCAGCAGTGGCTCACACAAAGTTTTAAAAGCTCAGCAACCCATTAGCTGAATTACTAATTATTAATATCTGGTCTCAGTTCTGCCACACACTGGATGAGTTGGATAAGTCACTTTGCCTCTCTGGGCCTCAATTCCCTCATCTCTTAAGGAAAAAGGCTGCCCAAGAGGCGTTAAACCACACTCAGCTGTAACCATCCAGGACAGGCCAGCCTGCCCACCACCCTGCTTGGTCCTCTGTCCTTCCACCATTCTGACCCTTTTCATCTGACTTCTTCCTGAGACCTCCGGGGGCTGCCTTGATTCTCACCCAGAGACCTCAGGGTGCTTGGAGCCAGGACACAAGTGATGCTTGGGTGAGCAGGGAGGGACACTGGCTGCTCATCAGGACCCCCTGCCATGTGCTCCCCTTCCTCGGGCCCCACCCTTCAAGGAAACCCAGAGGTTTCACCTGGTCACTCCATAGGCAGGATCTTCGCTGAGCATCTTAGGGTATCTCCACCTCATCATTGCTCCGATCCCCCTGTCTTTTCCTCTGTTCAATCCCAGGTCTAGAAAGCACATCAAACGCTCCAAATAGCAGCTCCCTCCCAAGGCAGGGGCTGCAGCATCTACTCAGTGCACTTCCCTCCAGAGTGTGGTAACTCAGGCCTCCCCGACAATGACAACGCACCCCAGGCCAGGAAGGCTAGTCTCCAGAGAGCCCTTTCTTTCATGGAATCAAACCCCAGTAAGCTGAAGGTCAGCATGGCAGAGGCTACACCTCTGGCCGTTTTCCTTGCTGTTCCTGGCCTGTTTCCCAGCCATCACTCTTTTATTGAAACACAAATGGGTCATAAAATCTGGCAGCACCTTTGGGCAGGAACAGCCCCTTTATTTTCCAAATGAGGAGCTGGAAGCTTAGGGACTGGAGGTGACTTGCTCTAAAGTATGAAGAAAACTAACAGAGGAATCAGGACTAAGGGCCCAGACCTCTCCCCCTGGGTCAGAGCTTTTGTGAGCACATTTCCCTGCTCTCTCCCTGGTCCTGGTTTTGCATGGTGAGGCAGGGTCTCGGCCTAGTGGCTCTCTGCCCTGGCTGCACTTTGGAATCACCTGGGAATATGCCACTATCCAGGCCCCACTGTAGCCAGATTAACTTCCCCGGTCGGCCCAGTCAGCCGCAGGCGTCCCTCAAGCTTGAAGCCAAGTCTGCCCAGCCAGGGGTTTGTCCCGGCTTCTGCCCTCTCCACCTGTGAAGTATACACTGGGGAGCAGTCCTCTGGCCCAGAGGCACACCAGGCAGGAGCCATAAGTGTTAGAGCCAGAGTATTCCAGAGAGTGACCCAGCAATGACTTGACTCTTGGTCTTGTGGTGGTGTCTCCACTGCAGCCAGAGCGGTGCCCCTGCTCCAAGCCCTCCTGCACGAGCTGTTTTTAAGTTTCTATAACTGAAATTGCAGTTGGAAACTTTCTTCCAACATCCTCATTTCAAGGTGAGGAGACTGAGGCCCAGGGAGAGGAAAGTCAGGGTGTCCTCCTTAACACCTGTTCTGGAACCTGGTGAAACTGGTCTGGCCTTGAGCCTTCCCACTGCACGTGAGACTGGCTTCCTGGCATATCAGAGTCCACCCACGACAGGACGAGGCAGAAGACTTTGCTGCCCAAGACGAAGGCCTCAGACTCTCCCTGGGCTCCTGGAGCCCGGGCAGCCATAGTTCATGGGCCAGGCCAGGTGATATCTCAGAGCTAGCACCCCTCACAGCTCAAGTTTCTCCTCCTTGGGCCAGTTCAGTTCATGTCATCCAAAAGCAGCCCTGACTCTGGGGTCCTGGCCGCTGTCCAGCCAAGTAGACAACAAGCACAGGCCACATCAGCCTAAGACAGTGCAACACAGAGTAAGGAGGCTGAGTGGGAGACCAACCCAGGCAGATTTCCAGGGGCGGCCAAGAGCCACTACCTCCCTCCACCCCTCTGAGACCTCAGGCCAGGACTCCAGACAGCACTGGCCCCAGCTCAAGAAGTAGCAAGCTTCACATCTAGAGCCTCAGTCCTTCCCAAGATGACAGAGGCTAGAAATCCCACACCACATTCCCAGGGGTTCTAGGCTCAATCCAGGAGCAGGGTTGGGGGACTCTCTTGCCAGCCCCTGGAGGGCCTGGGCGTGTGAACTGTCAGCCTCCTGTTTCCCAGATTTGGGTCTGATGAGAAAAAGCTGAGGCCCAACAGGAGACTTTCTAGATAGAGCCAGACCCACCTGACGCAGGTAGGGCAGAGGCCTAAGAATCACAGTTCTCCAGGAGCATAGATGAGGGGCAAGAAGCCTGTGAGAGGGAAGGGGCTGGGGGCATCTGAGATAAAGCTGCCCCTCCTCTCTCTCTCTCTCTCTCTCTCTCTCTCTCTCTCTCTCTCTCTCTCTCTTTCTCTCAACCACAGACACCTGGTCTTTCTCCATCCTCTGTGAGACACAGCCATTTTGGACATTTCAGCCTCCTGGGGAAGGCCCCATGCCCCAGGCTGTGGGCAGGATGCACACAGCTGCCCCTGAAAGGGTACACAGGGCAGGTACCCTCAGCAGTCTTGCCCTTTCCTCCAGGACAGCACGGTGGTAAGACAGATGGCCAGTGAAGCTGGCCTCTGGGCCTCCACAGTTGTGAGGAGGATATTCCCACTATTGTCTCATGAAAGGGGTGAGGCTGAATTCCCTGCAGGGGCTGGCTCTCTTGGGGACCCAGTAGAGGAAGGAGAGTCTCCCTAAAGCCTCACCTCCAGTCAGGCGTGGGCTGAGCTGGCAGGAAGCACCGAGGTGGGGGTCCTGCCACAGTCATTTAGGAGAGGATCAGAAAGGGGGTCCCCTTTTTTGTCCTGTGCCTCTGGGAGGGAAGAAAGGAGGCAGAGTGTCCCACAGGGACAGTCAAGCCTCAAGGAAAGGAGGAGGCCATTCAGATAAGAGTTCCAGGCATAGAGAAGGCTGGGCAGCTAGGGGCTCATCCCCTGGCACAAGATTACTGTGCTGATGGTGGACTTTCCTGCTCCATTTTTCTTGTGGGTCTGATAAACAAGTAATGGACAGACACTGCAGCAGGAGACACCGGCCTCACGTGGCAGAAAGCACATACTGCCCTGATACAGGTGGAACCCGCTGCTCTGACTCCGCCCTGAGGAAGAGAGTACCTTTCCCGAGACCACCCAACTCGTCCCTAAGGCAGACAAGCCCTGCAGGCAAAGAACTGACACAAAGGCTTTGGGGGACCAAGTGGGCTTTGAGGATGGGGCAGAGTGAGGGCCACTGGCAGTGCGGGCAGTGGCCAGTCTGGCTGAGCTGGGGGCTCTGACCAGCAGCCTCTCCCGCCGCCCAACTCACTGAGCCAAGGGCGCCGTTTGTAGAAAGGGGGCGGGAAGCTTGCGGTTTCTCCGAGGCTTTGATTTATTGCCTAATGCAGGCAAAGAAGAAAGAGGAGGCTCATCTCTAAGCCGGAGTCTTAGGAACGGGACGTGCGTCTCACATCTTCTGAAGGCCTAGCAAACAGGGCCCGCTCTCTAATCCGGCTGCAGGTCTGAGCCTGCCGCTGGGCACAGACATGCCACCAAGCAGGCCGCCTGCGCGGCACGTCTGGTGCAGGAGGCCTGCCCACTCTCCCCCACCCCACCACCCCCAGGCAGTCATGTTTATGGGGAGCCAGGCAGACAGTGAAGAGGCAGGAAGAAGAACTGAGAGGTGGGGAGCAGAGCATCAGAGAGAGGGAGACCAAGGGAGGAAGTGTAAGGCACGCCAGAGACTCGAAGGCTGAGGGCTGAGGTGCCAGAGACTGAAAAGGTGGAAAAAGGGGAACGTGCCAGGCATGGCTGGCCTGTGAGCTACCATAAGCTTGAAGCCAAGATGGCAGGGCTACTGCTAGCCCTTAAACAACTTGGAGCAAATTAGAAAAAGGTAGATGTAACCCCAAGGCAGACACAGGTCTGAATTTCAGCCTCTTCTTACCACCACCCCCTGCTCCCCACGGTCAGTATTCTTGTGCAGTCAGCAGCCTGCTCCGCTGTGCAGGGAAGACCCGCAGCTGAGGGCCGAGCAGACAGCGGAGCTCGAGATGGCTCCAAATGCTTTTTAGGACAGAACTTCAAATCTTCATTCCTCTGCTCCTGAATCAACAAAGCTCCTCATTCTCCTCACCACCGCCCCCAAAACATCCAGTGGTGTTGGGCCTTCCTCTGGAACCTCCTCTGCCCATCTTCAGAGCCAGCACATCCACACACCCCACCTCTTTTCACCCCAGTCCTAAGAACAGGCCAGCCTGGGGAGGACAAGGTGAGCTGTGTGCTGGGCCGGGAGGAGATGGTGCCTCAGCCTTCCCTTCTCTAAAATGGGCCATCTGTGCAATGGCTAGGGGGAGTCTGGGTGAAGCTTCTCTCCAATTCTCAGTTGCTTTTAGAGTCAAAGGAAAGTTGAAAGAGCTGGGATGAAGAAACCTGAACACTGAGGAGTGGCCACATTTACAGTGAGAATGGAACTCGGGGTTATGTCACAACGACCAGGGCTGGAGCCAAGAGGAAGAGTGGGCAGAGAAAGCCACGCTGGACTCCTCTCCTGGTCTGTAACTGAACTCAGCCCCACCAAAACCTTTTTGGATGGTCCACGTTGCCCCAAAAAATGTTGCTTCACCTCCTTATAGGGTTGCCACATCAGGTGCAAAAAAATTTTGTTATAGACAAGGTAGTGAAGAAATGGAAATAAAATAAAAAGCAGAAGATAAGGAGATGATAAGCAAGGCAAACCAAAACTCAGGTTAAAAAAAACTTCCATCTCCCACCCACCAACCTGCACGCTCAAGGCCTCCCCTCTATGTAAAATGGGGTATACTTATACTCACAGGATTTTCAGGCTGTAGAGACCAGAGAACGCTTGTCCTGGAATGTGGGAGAGGTGGTTCCCAGACAGCCTCCTGCAAATCAGAGCAAAGGGTCAGTGTCTTTAGTTGGGAATGCAGAGGGGAGGCAGCCACTTGTCAATGTCTCAAGCAAAGAGGGTGGTGATAACCACCATTTACTGAAATCTACAATCAGGACTTCATACCCGTCATCTCTCTTAATTCTCACTATCCCCTTGTAAGGTGCCTCAATGATCAGATCAAGAAACTGAGGCTTAAGAGGTCAGGTCACTTCTCCTAAGAGTCACAGAGTTGGTCAGTCATAGGTCTGAGGACCGTCTGGACTCATGTTCTCTCCACAGGGCTGTCTCCTCTCCCAAGCCCACCTGCCCTCAACTGGTGACCTGTGCGTACGCTGTCACCAGTGGAAGGTTAGATCCAGACAGGTGTGTGTGTGCCTCCCCATGACCTAAACTACAAAGCTAACCCCCACTAATCCAGGAGGGCTAGGAAATGGCATATTGGAATTAGTCTAACGTTCTGTTCTAATTAAGTATGTTTTTCATGGGGCGATCACCAATTTTGAAAGGAGCAAATGTGACAAAATATGCTTAATGTGTATACTTAATACTAAAGCCTGACAGAGCAGAGTTTAATTGTGGATGATTCAGAAGGCCCTTGGGATCTCCAGTCCTCAACAACATTATTATGCGCATCAATTCCTATCAAGAGGCCTACAGATGTAGAGATTGTGCTGACACACCTCAGAAGCTATTTTTAAAAACTGTATCGCTAATGAGAGTTTCTTTATTTAATATTTGTTGTTTTAAATAAGAAAGAAAGAAAGGCACGGAGAGACATCAGAAACTGGACATTTGCCATCGTAGAGTCTTTTATTTAGGGGGTCTTTAAAATGGGCCTAACCCTCTCTAAGGAAATGGAAGATGGAAGACCAGCCTAGAATTCTCAGATCAGCCCCTCTGTCACCTGCCCCCACCACTGATCCTCAGCTGTGCTCCTGGTTTTCATTCCTACCCAAGCTGCCTTGCCCCTGCCCCAAGCCCCCTCAGCTGCCTCACACACTTTCATTTCCTTTGAAAATTCCTCTCCCAGGAAGGCTCCCTAGCCCACAGGCAGCCCCACTACCTCTGACTCCCTGACCATCCCCTCACAGAGCACCTGGGTCCTCACACCAGACGGCCTCGTTCACAGGCTCCCTTCCTGCAGCACAGGTCACAGCCTTGCTGCAAGCACCCTGAGGCCCTCGAGCAGCTCATGGATCTTGCTTTCCCCCAGAGCACCTTGAACTTGCCTTTCACATAAAGGTGGCCCAAGAAACTCCTAGTCTAGAAGACCCGGCCTCCGCCCTGGGGGCTGATGGAATCATACCTTCATCAGGGATTGGCTAGCTGTTCCATGTCCCCATGTCTGGGGCGCCAGCCAGGGTCGGGATGGGACAAAGAGATAGAGGTGGGACCAGAGTAGAGGTGAGTTGGGATTGTTTTCAGGACTATGAACCCGGTGCTTGCACCATGTAAGCAGCGCTCTGGAGCCCCAGGGATACATGATGGTGCAAAAGCAAGAAGAAGCAGAGATGGAAGGTTCAGAGATCGGGCTAGGTGAGGAAGGGCAGAGTGCCTGGCTCCCCAGAGCAGACAGGCCAGAGGGTGGTTGGTAAATAGGCAGAGAAGACAGGTTTAGGGATTCCAGGGATTGACCTGGGAGGACTTTGTGGAAGAAGTGGGCCTTGTGCTTGGCCTGATCCAGAGTTAGGTGGCCTGAGAGGAGAAAGAGATGTGGACATGCCGGGTTGGGAGAGAAACCTGCTCAAATGCAGGAGGGGAAGCCAGGGGAGGTGAGCAGGACTGGCCTCACTGAAGCTAAGTTGGCCAGGTGGGCTTCGGCCAGGTGAGAGAAGACATTAGAAGTGGATCTTTTGGCTATGGGGAGCCAAGAAGGCTCTTGAGCAGGAGAGATACACCCAGAAGATGAACAGTGTTTATTAGAAAGGACACAGGATATCTGTCAGCTAGGAGGCTGACACAACCCCCAGATGTGAGGGGACAACTAGGGCAGTAGCCATGGGAGTGGAGAACAAGGCAGGAGGTGAGAGACATTTCAGAAAAAGAACCACCAGGCCTTGGGGAGTGGATGGAGTCTGATGCGCAGGATGAGAGCAGGTCAAATGTGATGCCAGGGAGAGTTGCAACTCTCGACCCGGAGACAGAAAGCTGCAAAGAGGAGTTGATTTGGGGGTGTGGGGGGGAAGTCCCTGGCTTTTCAAGTCCCTAGACCATGAGGCCCCATGCTGCCACCCCAGAGTTCACACCTGGGCCAGGTATCAACTGATGCCCTGCTATCAAGAACAGCCTGGCTTCCCAAACTCCTTTCTTTTGAGCTCCACCCCACCTCTTGGGGAGCCTGGGTTGGGGAGTTCCTGCAGCTATTGGGGGTCACCTGCCAGCCCCCCAAGTATCTACTCACAGCTCCTCCAGGAAGCGCAGGTGGTGAAAGAGGCCAGGCTCAAGCTCTGTGAGGTTGTTCATGCTCAGGTCTCTGTGGGGAGAGAAAATGGGAAGGGCTCTGTGAGTGTCCATCTGTCCCACTGCAAAATCCAGCTCCAAACACCCACAGAGAGCCCCAGGGGTCCCCATGGCACCCCATACACATAATACGCCAGCCTGGCAACCTCAGCTCATTCTCTAAGAGGGAGAAGCTGGCAGGGAGCTGGGCCTTGCATGTCCCTGTCTATGCCCTTTCTGTGCAGTCTCCAATGTCCCCTCTGCCTTTCTCTGTTTCCCCACCCAGCCCCCTGAAATGGCTGTGATTGGGATTATAAAGAAAGTTGACCTCCCTGTAAATGGAGGCGCTCACGAAAAATTCATAGAATGTCAGAGCAGGAGGGGAGGGGCTTCTCAATACAAACTATACCGCCTACACTTTTACCAATGGGGAAACTGAGGCCTGGCGTTCCGAGCCATGCTGATCTATGGAGCAGGTCATATAGGAGTCAGTCTGAGCTGGTGGGACTACCTGCCCTCGGAGGTCTCCGCCAGTCTCTTTCCTGGTGGCTTCCCTCCCTCCATGCTTCTTACTTTTCTCCAATAGGAAGACTCAGCACCCGCCTGCATTCCCAAGTGGTGGAATAGCAGGGCCTGCTCCCTCCGTGGATTCAAACGTTGGATCATCCCATCTTCCCGTATTACCTGACAGGCCCTCTGGGTAGTTTCTGTGTCATTGTCCTCCAACCACAGTAATAACTGCTGTGTGTCAGGTACTGGCTAACCTTTATCCAAACAGACCCACTTAATTCTCACAGCAACTGCAAGGCAGAGGCCATTGGCATCCCCAGGTTGAGGAGCAAAGAAGAGAGAGCATCAAGCCTTGGAATCCACAGGCCCTGACGTCAACTCTCCCTCCTACCTTTACCTACCAGACCTCTGGCCTTAACCACCGCATTCCTCAGTTTCCTCATGCATAAAAATAAATGAACACAATCAGGCCTCCCTGGTGGCTCAAAGGGTTAAGACGCACCCTATGAAGTTATCCGCAGCCACTGTAGCATGAGTTCCATCCCAGACCTGGGAGCTACCCACATGGCACAGCAGACCTCTCCTGACTCAGCAGTGTATTTCAGTCAATCTGCCTGTTCTGCTCCCCACTCTGTCTCTAGTGAATCCTTTCACCCCCCCCCCACACCTCTGGCCTGTACCCCAGCTCTTGTATGCATAAATAAATATATCTTTAAAAAATAATAATAATAAAATAAATGAACACAGTCTTCTAGGGAACCTGTAGGATTAAAAGAACCAGAGCATCCAGACTGCCCAGCACATAGCCCTGACACGGTGGGTATTTGCTCTTTTCCTTCCACCGTCCCTCAGTCACCCGCAGGTGAGCGTGGCAGCTCAGCAGGCCTGGGGGGAGGTGGGGAGGCTTCTGAGCCTTCATTGTGGGCCCCACCCTACATCATCATTTTCTGCTGCATTTGTGCCTGGTGAGCACTGGGGTCTGAGGCTGTATGTGGCCGACATGGTTGGGCTCCATCCTAGTTCAAACTCCCAACAGCTGCTTCTCACCTCTGCCAGTGCCCCCACCCCCAGAGGTACAGAGGTGGGCCCAGATCAGAGCACCGCACTGCCCAGTCCCACCCCAGGCCTTCCCATAGCACCCCCCTCCAGCCTCAGTGTCTCCACTTCCCCCGAGAAATGAGTGTGCATTATGTGTGTTCTCAGACAGGCAGGCCGGAGACGGTGCCTGAGAGCCCAGTTCCAATCTATAAAAAGACTGTTTAGTCTCAAATATTTTATCTTTGATAAAGCTGGGACTCCGACGCCATGTCCTCTGAGGAAGGACATGGTCCAGCCAAAGAACCGGCCTGTGGGACTCGGGCAGGGTGTTATCCATGGCTCCTTCCTTTCCACGTGGAAACAGGCTGCCCAGCCCCCGGTCTGCCCCATCCAGAAAGAGGGCCACAGCAAGGGGGAGGCCCACGTGAGCATGGCCAAGGTTAGGGGCAGAATGTAGAGAGTTCACTGAAGAAGTTGAGATCAGAGTTTGTTTCTCAGATGTTTGCACATTCTCCTAGCCTGGGGTTCCAAGCAGAAACGTGAAGACATTGGGATTCACTGGACAGTGGCAGGGTAAAGGGCAGCGATGCCCACAGACCCCCGGCTAGCGGCCAAGATCGGACTGGACTCCTCCCCCTTGAGTCCTGGGCCTGGCTCATCCTCAGCCAGGCAGGGAGGCGGGAGGTGCCACACACACACACACACACAAAAACGATTACCTCTAAATATTTACCCTGTGCATTTCTGGACGTGTCTCCACAGGAGCGGGAGCGGGAGTTCAAGGAGCACACAGGGCATGTGACTCAGGCCTCATCACTCAGCTGTCCCTCCAGGGGCCGCACCTCAGAGGCTCTGATGTGGCTCCATGGCCCCCTCCCTCACCCCACCACACTGACTAGCGGCCTCATTGTTCTCCCCTGGAAAGGAGGGGGCCTGTACCCCCCAGCCCACCCCCACATCCTGCCCCAAGACAACACATAGCCCAGCTGCAGTGTTTAGTGAAGGGGCGCCCGGGGATGGGGGGGGAAGCCCCATTCAGGCCTGGCCCTCTCACAAAAGGAAAAGGGGTGAGGCTGGTACCAAGGAGAGGGGAAGGGAGAGGAATGCTGAGAGCTGGAAGAGGGAGGGGCTGTGGAAATTTCAAAGCTGAGATCCTCTGAGCTGATGCCACAGGTCTGGGAACGACTAAGGGCCCTGGCAAGAGGTGCTGGGTCGGGGGTGGGGGGGTGGGGGTGCCGTGCCTGGGCATTCACCAGGAAGGCGTCACCACTGTGCAGAAACCCTGGACACAGTTGTCCTGGAAAGTTGGTGGTTCTGAAGTCTGAGATTCGACCTTCCTGGGAGGTCAGTAGTTCTAGTGCAGTGCAGAGAGCACAGCTCAGATGCAGGGGAAAGCGGGGGCACTCTGATCCCTGGGGTGCGTGGAATTTGGCTGTGGTTGCATTTGCTTGAACTTGTGAGTATTCATGAGTTATATTAAGATAAATGAGCTCTTGGGATACATGCGCTTGTCTTGTGGGGTGCTAGACACACATGTGTCACACGTTAGGGTGCACGTGTGATCTGTCACATGCACTTTGGAACACTGAGCTGTCAAAAGTCACACGACCTCAAAGCACCCCTTGATTATAAAGACAGAAACTCCAGGAGGAGGAAAAGCCTGGCCCAAGTCTCTCCTTGTGATTGGAGAAACTTTTTTGTCTGTGTGACCTTCTCTCAGCCTCAGTCTCTCCGTTTTCTCCCCTGGCCCCAGGAAAGAGCAAGGGAGCAGAGTGATGCTGTTTGGGGTTTCTCTTGTGGCTAAATTGAATACCTGATGCTTGGACTTAAAGTCTGCTCCCCACCATCACCCTATGACATTACAAATACACACATGCACATACATGCACACATGCATGTGCACATTACCTCTTCCTGGGACTGGCTTCATACACACATGACCTGTGACAGGGTCGAACGCGCTAAAGACCGGGCCTCAGACTCGTTCTCTGCTGTTGCCATTGTGAGATTCCTCACAGGTTTTGGATCACGTTTTCATTTTGCCCTGGGGCCGGCGAACTGCTGCCCTCAACTGAGCAGCAAGGGTTGAGCGGCTGGGCTGCAACCCACTCTGGAGCCAGAGAGGCCGTGTGTCCTCCAGTGGACACAGCCATTTGGGGGGTGGGGCAGGAAGGAGTCAATGGGGGGGGAGGCTGGTAGGCAGGGAAAAGAGGGGGAGAAGTGAGGGGCAGCCCTGGGCATGGGAAGTGGAAGTTTCTGGCTGCACATTAGGAAAATGTTCTCATGGCTTTACCCTGTGAGGCAACCGGACCACCCAAGGAAGCTGGGTGAGGCGGTGTCACCATGGAGACAAGGAACAGGTTTGATAAGAGTGAGGATGCTGGGGAACTGAGGAGGCACAGAGCAACAAGACCCGAAACTCTGTGTGTGTGTGTGTGGGGGGGGTGTATTGGGAGACCCTCCTCCCATGGCATTCTGCCCAAATCCAAGGACCCGAGGGGGATTTATTCTATTTGAATCTTTCCTAGGGGAGGAGGGAACCCAGCCTCTGGGTTCTGCTGGGACAGAGCTGGGAGCACTGTCTCCACCTGGCTGGAGAGAAGGCCTGGAAGCAGGGCCCCCTTTTTCACTGTCTCCACTGTGGGCTCAAATTGCTCACCTCCGTGGCCAGGTAAACAGCAGCTAGGGAGGCGGGGAGATGAGCCCCTGTCCCAGGCAGAGTGTGTGCCCGCAGTGGTTTCTGCACTGACTCTGCTTCCTGAATGTGGCGCCTGCCCTGCACTGCTGCCTCCGTTACTAGCCCCGCGGGCATTACTCAGCCGTGTCACCTCCAAGCCTCCATTTTCCCATCTGTAAAACAGGGCTAATAATAGTACTTGCCTCACAAGTTGTAGTGAGAATGATACGAGTTCATAAACGTGAAAGAGGACTCAATAAGTGTAACTTATTATTAATATTACATTCATCTAACTAAATTATAATGATTAGTGCATGATGACCTTGAGCTGCTTTTTCCTCTCTGTGCCCTCCAATCCTGGAGGGAAACCTAGCAAAGAGGGGCATGCAATCAACATTTAAAGGAATGCAAAAGGAATAGATAAGACCACCCTATCCCAGGACTCTGTCACTTTCAGGCTTAACTTCTGGAAAGAAATTAGTGGGTGCTGGGTTCCCAGAGCACTTGCAGATCTGTGGGTGCTGCTTCTAATAATGCTCTCTCATTGGGCATTTGTAAGAGCGAGGAAAAGCAAGATCCTCTGGAGAATTCCTCCTGCATCCACTATGCACACCGGGATTCCTCTTGATCTTCTCTCCCAGGGTGACTGCCTGGGTGAGGGTCTCAAGAGCTGCCATGACCCCATCCCCCCAAGGCCAGGCTGCTGGGCACATTTCCTGCCTTGCTGGGAGACAACTGGGGGGTGGCAGCAGGGAGGAGGATGGGCTGGTATAGGAAGAGCCCAATATGGGGATTCTCTCCTGCTGTAA